TCCGATAATGGCACAGAGTACACAAATTAGCTAGGATTCAGAGATATTTTTCAGTGTGCAAGACACCAAAACAGAATGGTGTGACAGAAAGAATGAACAAGTCTATAACTGAAAGGACAAGATGCTTGAGACTAAATGCAAGGCTTCATAAGAGTTTCTGGGCAGAGGCTGTGAATATGACATGTTATCTCATCAATAGATCACCTCGGGCATCGTTGGGTGGCAAGGTCGCAGAAGAGGTATGGACATGTAATCCAGTTAATTGTGATCATTTACAGATTTTTGGTTGTTCTGCTTATGTGCATGTACCTGGAGATGAAAGATCTAAACTTGATGCAAAATACAAGAAGTGTATCTTTCTGGGCTATAAAAAAGGAGTGAAAGGATACAAGTTTTGGGATCCGATTGCAAAGAAGACGGTGATCAACAGAGATGCAGTTTTTGATGAACAATCAATGTTGCAGCATAATCAAGACAAGATATCAGGGAACAACAGTTCCAGTTCAGATGCAGTGCAGATGGATTTAAAATAACATCTAGAAACAATTGAGAGAGTTGAAAGTTTAAATATAACACCTGGTGATTCCATTCCAGATGATCTGCATAATTATAATCTAACCAGAGACATACAAAAAAGCACCAATATAAGGCCTCCTAGCAAATTGAGTTTTGAAGACTTGGTCTCTTGTGCACTTCTCATCAGCATCGATGATCCAACCACTTTTCAAGGAGCTATCATTAGCTAGGAGAAAGAGAAATGGACGGGTGTAATGGTTGAGGAGATGGAGTCTTTGCAGAAAAATCGCACATGGGAGCTAGTTCAGCTTCCTGAGAGAAAGAAGGTTATTGGTTGCAAGTGGGTGTATAAAAGAAACCCAGCAGTATCAGGAAAAGATGGGGAAAAGTTCAAGGCTCGGCTGATAACAAAGGGAAATTCACAGCAGAAGGGGATAAATTATAATGAAATCTTTTCTTTTGTGGTTAGACATACTTCAATCAGGGCAGTTCTTGCATTAGTGGTCATTTGGGATTTGCATTTGGAGCAGAGGGATGTTAAAACTGCTTTCTTGCATGGTGATTTGGAGGATCGGATTTACATGGAGCAGCCACCAGAAGGGTTCACTTGTTCACTTAACCTGGACAGGAGCATCTAGTTTGCAGGTTAAAGAAATCGTTGTATGGGTTGAAACAGTCTCCAAAACAATGGTACAAGCAACTTTACCCCTACATGATTCAGATCAGCTAGAAGAGATGTGAGTATGATTGTTGTGTTTATGTGAAAAGCCTTGATGATCGTTCTATTATTTTTCTATTACTGTATGTTGATAATATACTGAGTGTTGTGAAAAATATGAATGATGTCTGTGGTTTGAAAGCTTTATAGAGCCAGGAATTTAATTGAGTCAGGAATTTGACATGAAAGACTTTTCCTACGAAGAAGATTCTTGGAATATGAAGATTCATTGAGATAAAAGCTCAAGACGACTGTGTTTATCTCAACGAGGCTATGTTGAGAAAATGTTGGACATGTTTGAGATGAGCAAAACCAATCCTGTGAGCACTTTATTGGCAAATCATTTTAAGCTTTCTTCAGAACAGTGTCTTAAGACAGATACAAATTTTTGAAGAACAAAAATCGAATACGAATACATGGCAAAGGTTCCATATGTTAGTGCAGTTGGCTGTTTGATGTATGCAATGGTATGTGCTCGTCCTGATTTAGCTCATGTTATTATTCAAGTCTTCAAATACATGACAAAACCTTGAATGCAATATTAAAAAGCAGTAAAGTGGATTTTTATATATCTGAAGGATACTGTAGGACATGTAATTATTTTTGGCAGTCAGTAGGATGGTCCTTTAGTTGTGGGGTGCGTTGATTTAGACTATGAAGATGATTTAGATGACAGAAGGTCTACAACTGGGTATGTTTTTACTCTTGGTGGAGGGCCTATATGTTGGAAATCAATAATTCAGTATATTTTGGCAGTATCTACAACTGAATCTGAGTACATGACAGTAGCTAAAACTACAAAATAAGTCATATAGCTTGCTGGTCTAGTAAAGGAACTAGGCGTTGAGCAAGGTGGAGTTCAGTTGTATTGTGATAGTCAGAGTGCTATTCATCTAACTAAATATCTAACTAAATATCAGGTGTACCATGTGAGAACCAAGCACATTGATGTCAGGTATCACAAGATTAGAGAATTGATTATTTCTGGTGAGATACTGTTGTAGAATGTCCATACTGAAGAAAATGCAATTGATATGTTGAGCAAGCCAGTTATTATCAACAAGTTCTTGCATTGCTTGGACTTGTTGAATGTTTGCAGTTGCTAGATAAGCATGGTGGCCCAACCCACTTCTCGTATGTAAGAAACTCCATGACGTATTTCTCCTAAGGGGCTGGATATTTGCCAAGGTGGAGATTTGTTGGATATGGCTCATATACCATAAAGGGACTGATTCTGGAGTGGAGCAGAAGATTCTGTCCAAATCAGGAGAGTTTCCTTATGTGGGTTGGGGGTGAGGTACATGGGTAATTTGGTAATTACATATTGTACTTCAGGGTTTTCTAGGGTTATAAATAGGCATGTATGTAACCATAGGTTTTATCTCAAATTCTGTAATCTCTTTTCTGAATGTTGAAAGGAATTCACCGTTTTGCTCCCGAGGATGTAGGCATCTTTGTCGAACCTCGTTAAATCTTTGTGTGTTCTTCTAAATTTTTGTCGATTACTATTTTTCTTCGCCCGAATTTCTCAACAATGCATAGTTTCTTAAAGGTTGTGTAAGAATTCTATGGTTATGATTTTTAGTTTTAAGCTTAAAAAATTATTTAAAAGTCAAATTCCTATTATGAATGATTGAATTCCAATATTTAATATTTTGAATTTTAAGTTTCAAAATTATAAAAAAATACTACTTAAATTTACTAAACTGATTATTTATAAAAGAAATAATTAATAATTCCTATAAAAAGGTGATAGTTAATGGAGGTTACTTCTTCTTTTTTTTCATGCTATTTTGAGCTATGTTGATGCAAAATAGTTATACATAGTTTCTAATTGAAAATTAAAAAGAAAATGAAACATTGATGAGATTTTAAATATTTTGCTCAGAGATAGAGACTTAGTGGTTATTTCTTTCGAAATTGATTTGCTTGTTGGCATACATATCCATTATATGCTCATGAGTAGCTTACTCATATTTGCATGATATATATTTATTTTTTGTTGTAAATCCTGATGAATCCTCACTACTGGTTCATATCAAATCCCCACATCCCTCCACTATAAAATCCAAGCAAATTGTCATTACAACTACTTTGTCTAATTGAATTTTAAGTGGTCTAATTTAGTTGTACTTGCTATTACAATCAATTAAACTCATTTAATCCTTAACACAACCTCCACTACTAAATTAAAAATACTCTCCTATTATGTGCAAAAGTTTTTAGCCCTTAGTTCTACTTATTTTCCTACTTGTTCAAATCTTAATCTCAAAAGAAAGACTCTTCAGTTAAGGCCATTTTTTAAGCTTTGCTAAGCACATTGACTCCACCATCCCATAATTCATTTCATCTCCTCAAACATCAATATTCCATGGCTTCTGCTTCATTACAAACATTGGCATCCTTGGAAGATAATCAAATCAAAGTTAAGAAATCACTTTTAATGTTTTTTCTATATTTCTACCCACTATCTTTTTTTTTTTTTTTTGAAAAAAGAGAGCCACACTGAGCTTTATTCAAATAGAAAAAAGATAATAAATATATACCCATACAAAACAGCACAAAACAAAAAAAAAACAAACAAATAAACAAACCAACTAACAAAATTTTCTATGAGAAAATTATAATCAACAAGCCTAGAAAAAAAGAAAAAAATAAGAAAGCAAAAGGAAACAAATCAATTTGAACAAGAAACACTCCATAGTCGATCAACAAAAAACCCAAAAAATTCTCAAATATTTTAACATTTGTATCAGCATATCCAATCAACATTTCTAATCAACAACATCATCAATCAACTCTCAAAAAGTCCCATGAAAGAAGAGACAACTTCATTAGAAACATATGAAAGAGAACAAACCATATACACACAAACAAGAAACAACTAGCAAATACCAACATAGTACCAAAAGAAAAGGATAACAAAAAAGCATAGAAGAGAGAAGAGAAGACAAATCATGTAAAATTGAGATAAACAACTCAATAGACCTACTTTAAAGAAACATTAATATTCATTTCAAGATTAATGATTATCCAAATTATGACATATTCAAAAAATGGTTGAATATTAATGTATGCTTGGAAATCACCATAGCATATACCAATCTAAAAAAAAATAATAACAAAGATCAAGAGATTATTCGAACAAATGACTAAGATTAAGAGAAATATCAGATACAACAGTGCGGAAATGCATATTTGAACAAATAACTAAGATCAAAAGATAATCAAATACAACAAAGAAATGAGAAAATCAAACCAATAAGAACGGCTACCACTCCGAAGTCAATCAATAAGCGAACCCAATTTCACCTCATAAATCTATTACAAAAAAGTCTTAATAGAAAAATGATCAACTAACATCAACACCAGGAGCATCTCTCATCATCAAACAACCTCCTCTTTCTCTTTTGCTTTTTTTTTCCCCCACATCTCCTCCTTTCACCCAATCTGCATGATGCAATTTTGAGCCTCACAATTTTTTCTCTTTCTCTCTCTTTCCCTCCTTTTATCGATCACTTCATTATTTTTTTCTTCTCTCTCCTTCCTTTTTTCTTTTGACAATTAATAAAGGATAATAAATATATAAAACAATAATCAAAATTTTTATTAAAAAAATGAAAAAAAAAGTAGAAAATAATACCTCTAATTATCTTTCTTAAAAAAAAACACCTCTAAGGCTTACAAAAAGCCAAATTAATCCTAAGATTAGAAATATTAATAAATGTTTTCATTAAAATTTGCTAATAAGATCTTTGTAGTCCAATATCCCCATTTGATGCAAATTACAAGAAGTTTCCAACAATCATTAATGAAGGAATGCCTCCCGATTTAACAACCAGGAACCAGAAAACCAACCGTACACTCATTAATTAATCGGTCCGACGTACTGCGCGCAGCACAAAATGCGAGCTAATTACCTCGCTTAACTCCGCATCTACTCATTAATCCCCCCCATTACCGAAAATCCCTGAATTAAAAATCATTTCTTCCGCCAGTTTGAACTCTTCAATCTTCTTCCTCTTCTCCTCGCCGCCGGAGGATTTTCTCACCACAAGTTTGGGATCTTCTTCTTCTTCCTCCCCGCGTCTCCTTTTCCTCTCCCAGCTCTGGCATTTGACTGATCAATGGGCTATCTTTCATGCCGAGCCGATTCCTCGATTGCCACCTGTCGCTCAATCTCCTCCTTCTCCCCCGCCCAATCGCAGCGTCGTAAGCCCAAGAATGCACGCAGCTCTAGCGCAGCGGAGCCCGGCGATGCAGAGAACAACGAGAAAGGGGAGGTTGCCGGAGCTACATCTCTCTCCCATCCTCGCATCCGCAATTTCTCATACCGAGAGTTAGAATCGGCAACCCAGAACTTCGCAGAAGCCGCACTACTCGGCCGAGGAAGCCATGGCGCAGTCTACAAAGCTGTTCTCCGCTCCGGCAGATCTGTCGCCGTTAAACGCCCCTCTCGCCGTCCGATTCCTTCTCCTGCGCACGAAGTTGACAACGAGATTGAGATCCTTTCCCATATTCAGAACCCCCGTCTTGTGAACCTTGTCGGCTTCACCCCGCCCGGCGGGAAGAAGGAGCGGTTACTTGTTGTTGAGTTCATGCCGAATGGTACTCTCTACGATCTCCTCCACTCCAACCATCGCCCTCCAGGATGGGCTCGCCGGCTACGCCTCGCTCTCCAGACGGCGAAAGCCATCCTCGCGCTTCACTGTTCTCATCCGCCGATTATCCACCGCGATGTGAAGTCGGCGAACGTGCTTCTAGACGAACGGTTTAATGCGCGTCTCGGCGATTTCGGTCTCGCTCTCAAAAGCGATGGAGATGAGAACGAAGCCGGCGGATTCAATTCCTCTGTTCGATCCACACCGCCTGCAGGGACTCTAGGGTACCTCGATCCCGGTTACATCACGCCGGAGAATTTGAGTACCAAGACCGATGTTTTCAGTTTCGGGATTCTTCTGCTCGAGATCATCAGCGGTCGTAAGGCCATTGATGTATCCCACTCACCACCATCTGTTGTTGACTGGGCGGTGCCGCTCCTTAAAAAGGGGAAGATCTTGGCGATCTTTGATCCGAGAATTACTCCGCCGAGAGATCCACTGGCTAGGCGGCAGCTTGCGTTACTTGCTTCTAGTTGCGTTCGATCATGCCGGGATCGGCGGCCGACGATGGTGGAGATAGTTGAGCAACTCAAGATTCTGAATCGGACTGTGCCGGCTAGGGTTTGGACTGTGAGCGCTCCATGCTCTGTTATCGATACAGAGAGTACACTTGTGAAGCTTAGATTTGACAGGCGGAAGGAAAGAGAAGAGAATCCTGCGAGGACAAAGAAATCTCCAGCTTCTTTTTCCTCTTGTTCTTCCTCTCCTCCTCCTCCATCCAGTACTCTTCCTCCTTTGAGGATGGTGAAGTCTGCTGCAAATGGTGTAGTCGCCATTGGAGTTGACAGAAACAATGAATTACTTAACAGCAGATCGAGGAGGTTGCATGTTGTGCCTGCTACTTCTGAAGATGATGTGATGTTAAATCCGAGAAGAAATCAAATAGTAAGAGAATTAGAGCCAGAGAAAGAATGAAGATTGGATGGAATCCAGAGCTTGGATGCTTCATGACTTTTGATTTGATGGTCGAAGGCCATTTTATTTATAATTCTTGTTGTTTGCTTACATTATTGTTATTAGTAAGTAACTCCCAATATCATTGTCAAATGATCAATTCAGTTTTATATATTCAATTTGACCAAGTGAAAGGTTTTATATGAAAATCTTTATTGTAGGGGAGCTCTTGCTGTTCAATATTTATACCTTGACATTTTTTACCTTTTTGTAGCAATGTATATGCCCTTATGTATTTACATATCTCACACCTACACTTTCATATTTACACATATAGTGCTCATATCTTAAATATCACATCAATAACAGCACTATTACCACTTTTGAATGTGAAATACACCTTTTCATGCATAGGTTTAAAATACCAAAATGTATGTAGATATATGTTAAGAAAAGAAGAATTGTGTGCCATTGGATATGGAGGTGAACTTTCTATTTCTCTGTCAGCTGTTTATCTAGTTCCAATTCAGTGATGTTATGTGTAATATGCCGCATATGCTATCTGCTACTGGATCTTATTAGTGCCTCAGGTTTGCACAGTGTAATTAATCTTACCTTCTTATGTTTTATTTATGCCAAATTCCTTCATTTTTCCATATTTGACACAATACTGATATAACTTAAAATCTGAAATTATTTATTACTTAGCAGTTCATATGATACCTGAAGTGTTTGAAAATCAGTTGGATTTTTCTTCTATGCATTACAAGGAGGGGATTTAACCTGTCAGGTATTGATGATTTCATTCTGTTCAATGTGAGTTTTGATGTAATAAGGCCTGCTATTTATAACATTTATTTAGATTGGAGTGTCCAGAGGGTTTAAGAATCTACTCGATTCATTTGTTCTTGTGCTCTAATTTCTGAACTGCCCTTTATTTCTATCATTTTAGCTACTGCTGACTCTTAACAAACAATGATTTGATGAGCATTCTTTTTCTATTTGACAGGTCTCTTGGTTTCTTTGGATAAAAGAACTTTAATTATTACGAAATTGATGTATTGAACAAAAAAGGAAGAAAAGAGAATAACACAAATTTACATGAAAAATCATAGACAGAAAAAAAAAGGTGTTATGAGTGGAAAGTGGCAACTCACATGACACATAATGCCTTATGAAACTCTTTATATATATATATTTGAAAAGCCCAAGGGTTAATTTTATTGAAATAGAAAATATACATAAAGATTGTATGAGAGGGCCCAATAGAGGCACCCTATTTCAACTATATCAAGTACAGTACTACCCCAACAAAAAGATATAGATAGACTCAAAAATTTAAAAAATGCAGAAAACAAATAGCTAGGAACGAGTCAGTTTAGTCTTGTCTCTTTCTCTAGTTTTAGGAACAGAGTCAGATAACAAACTTTGAAGTGTCGTGTTATTATCAGGAGTAACCAAAGTATCATTCATTATGTTTCCAAGTTGGAGTGTGCCTCCAACCTTCTTCTTCCGTCGAGAAGTGTAAACCTATCATTCTTCATCTGAAGACTGACTCATGTGATCCTCGGTCTGAGTAGATATTAGAACCGAATTAGAATGAAAGAAAGTTGTTGCCACAGCGATAGGTTCCAGTGTATATGAAGTGTGAAATGTCACCTCTGCACCTGATGTTTTCTGAATAGGAACTGTGGGGCTATCCTGACTTTAGGTCCGAACATTATCTTTTATAGTATGGTCAGGAGAAGGGTTTCCAGAGACATTTCTTTTGTATAACTTTTATAATATTAAATATATATATATATATATATATATATAAATTGGCCAGAGGCTATTATATGAGCCTCCCGACCATCTTCATGTGTTTAAGAATTTCATTCCACATATAGGTTGGATCGAACCCGTGACCTCAAGGGTCTTACAAACTCTGCTAATTAAAAAGTCACAATATGTGGCAGATATATATCTATATATTATATGTCCGACAAAGTCACAATATTTAAGAATATATTAATAAGTATATATATATATGAATGTCGGAAAAAAATAATAAAGATCTATACCACTAAAATTTTTTTCTGATTTCACTACTTATGTCCGACAGTGAACTTTTCAATCCAAACTGAACAGAATTTCACAATTTTTAACAGGTATTTATACAGCAAATCAGGCTGAACATTCCTATTTGTGGTGGCTAATGATTTACATTGTGAACGATTATAGTTTTTAATCTTACTAGGACTAATCATTCTAGCTTTTAGATGTATGCTTATTTTTTCCCTTCGTATGAGTAGCATTATATCAATGTAGAATGTTCATCTTTCATTTTTGAGGCATTCCACTTTGTCCTGACTAACCCAATTTTCCATTTGAAATATCCTAGACATAATTGATGAAATGGACAGGCACGTGCCATGTCTACCCATCAAACTCTCCTTATAAGGTCCATATTTCTTATCATCTGACTAATTTCTTAAGGCCTAATGCCTTTATTATGTATATATTTTTCTTGCCATTCTTCTCTTCACCGTCCTAGAGCTTATTTCATCATTACTTATTTTCTCTTCCAGTCCATAATCGGATTATTATGTCAGTCGTAAATTCTGAGTCTGGCTGCGATCACTGTGGTTGTGCTGAAAGGGGAAATGGGACTGTTAAGTCTGAGAGCCCTTTGGAAATGCATGGATTGAGTTAGCTTTATGGCTTGTTCTGAATGTCCTTCAGTCATATATTTGACTGTTGCACCATATATTTTATCCCTTATTTACCAGCCTAAATTTTTGGTAAGTATACAATGTATTACTTTACAACCAATGTTAAATAGCCTAGTCATAACATATTTAATCCCTTATTTTTAATTGACTGTAGCATCACACACACACACACACACACACACACACATATATATATATATATATAACAAGGATGGCTGGAGGCTATTATACGAGCCCTGACCATCCGTCATGCGCCTAGGAATTCCAGTGTTACATCCTACATTCGGGGGAAATCAAACCCCAGGCTAGAGGAGACTTACAACTGACAAGCAAATGCCCGTCCAACTGATCTGAATACGAGGCGTACTGTTGCATCGTATTTAAAATTCTTCTAAAACTTTATGATGTTAAATATTACAATGTATTATTTTACGACAATTGTGTGTGGTGTGGGTGTTTTTCCCTCTGCGTTGCAACAAGTGCTTTAGATTTGAGATTCTTTCTACTTTCTAAGTGCATATTTGTATAAATAATGCAAGATTTTAATAGGCCACTTGTGTCAAAATATTGGTTCCTTTTTTCCGTGCAAAACTCTTTATCTTTTTATCAGTTGTTGTGGGTGAATACCTGCTTTGGTGGTTGTCGCGAGGAATTCTCTAGCAGTTATATCAGTTCATTGGTAGTTAAGTGTTTTGTTAAACTGACTTGTCCTTTGGTACTTGGTAGCTGTAGGATGCAAGTCTCTGATAGTCTCTTTCTGGCATTTAGATACTCTAAATTATGCTTAAAATCAGATTAGGGCTGTGCGTTTGATCTTGACGGTTTGGATAACAAATTTGTGAACTAACGACCAAATAAATTTGTAAGACTAACGAAATTGGACGGCATTTTAGTTGGTTGTTTGGTTTGTTGAGGAGGTGATGTAGTATAAAATGAATACATTATAAGAGTAATGTATTACATGAGAAATATTTTGGACTTGTTGTTTGAATGTTGTAAAGTAAATGTTTTTTTTTTTTGTTCGAACTAAAATGAAAAAAGTGTATTTCGAAGTAATATATTTGTCACTAGTTGCGGGAGATGATGGTGGTTGGCAATGGAGGTGATGGATGGTAATATCAGATGGCGGTAGCCTGCGATGGTGGCCAGCAGTGGCGACAGTTGGTAGTGGTGGTCGGCAGTAGGTCGGCCGGTGGTGGTGGTTAGTGAAGGCTAACGGGCAATGGTGGAGGGGATTGGTTGTGGGCTATGGTTGCTACTGATTGTGGTGGTTAGCAGTGATAACAGGCTGTGGTAGCTGGCGCTTATGGCAGTCGGTGATGGTGGCTGGCTACGATGGCGACTGGTTGTATCGATCAGACATAAGATACTTAAAATGAAATTTTCTATGGGGGGCAAAAAAATTGAATATTGATGAACTAATGAACAACTTTTTTATTTGAGCTTAAAAGAATTTTGTTAAAGGGAAGTTTCACTAGCGTCTTAATTATCCTAATATGAGTTAAGGTTATTAGAGAAAAACCCAGGGGTCAAACAATAGAGTTAAATCAACTAGTATAGAGGGCTAGATTAGCCTTTGGGCTACCTAATCTAAGATTTTATTTTGGCCTAAATTTTAAGAATGTTTTCCTAATTGGTTAGGGTTCTTGGTCCAACTACTAAGCTTTGATGATAAGAAGGTCCGTTAAGGGGCTAAAATTTTAGCTAGGTTAATCCTAAGGCTCGAACTAGTTTGAGATTGGGGCTTCAAAGTCTAGGTTTAGAATGAGAGACCTCGAAGGGTCGAAGTATATTACATATAAGACATTATTCTTACTCATGAAAGTTAGTATGTCACAATTATGGTTCTACCCATAATGAAATATAAGAGGTTTAATTACAAGGATTATAAAAATATTCTAATGGATTAAACAAGTTTTTTAATGCAAAATGTGGATCGTAAAGCACCATAAAGGATCAAATCAAAGCTCAACCTTTCTTTATCTATGCTAGTTATATATGAGCTTATATTGTGATGATTAACTCTAAGTATGTAAAACTTTAAACTAATTAAAATTGCCCTCAACTGGGCTTGGTTAGCCACCCACAAAGCCTTGTTTATACTAAGATCATACTAGGTTGGCCGATTATGTACCTGTCTTTCCTTAATGTGATAGAGGTTGTATATTAGTGCATATCATAGAAACTATTATCATGTGGTTGTTCGTGTATAATTCATCATAAGTGTTAGATGATTTTTAAAATATTTTTATGCTTCTTTCTTTGTCAAGCTAAAATAGTCTTTTTGAGGATAATAATTAATTTAATTATAACATTATGGATATTGTTCCTTGTATCCATCAAATTTGAATAAATAGGTGGAGATCATTATCATAATTAATCTCAATCATCAATTGTATGAATTTTGAAATGTTATTACCAATGTGCTAATGATGTTATTATGAATGTATGACACCTAACTATTATTGATCTGAAATAAGATACTTAAAATTTAATTTTGTAACT